ACTTCAGTTTCTTCTTAGGCTTGCCTCTGCACAGTCACTTCTAAAAGGGAATCTCAGAAGTTCTCAGTGGGCAAGGACAGCAGAACTACAAAATGAACGACAACTTCTGACCCTCAGTTTTGGATGCTGATTGTTTACACAGAGGGAGTAATAATGCAGACAACCAACAGAGTGAGTGGCCCTCTAACAGAGAAAATTTCAGCATTCTAGTTTATTTTCCACAGCAAGTAACACTCCAAAGGAAGGTTACTTAATCCTCAGCACCACACAGTCAAGACAAAACAGAGTTTTTTAAATGCTGCTTATGCCAGGCACAAAACACACATACGGAACACCTGCTGCATTTAACTCCTCACAACCAGCCCAGTTCAATCTGACTTAGATGAATCCAGTGATTCCAGTGTGACTGCATTTACCGTCCCCAAAATAAAAAACAGAATGTGGTTCTGCAAAGGGAACTGGATAGCACCAAGTTCTCAACACATGCAAATCCAGATATGTGAGTATTAAAGGTGAAGCACGGGATGATTGGTATGAAATCCTCAGTGCTAACTTGGTATCCTTGATTTGATGGTTGGACTCGATGATCTTAGAGGTCTTTTCCAACCTTAATGATTCTATGATTTAAGCTTTTACAGCCGCCCAGGCAGAGCACAGGACCAGAGATGCCAGAGCTCATTGCTGGACTGGAGCAATTTGGAGCTTCCTACAGCTTCTACCTCATCCTGGGCACACCAGTGTTTTGCAAAACCCCTCCCGATCACTAGGGCTGGATCAGCGGTACTGGATTCAGTCACCTAAGTCAGGGATCTAAGGAATAGAAATTTGGCAAACCATTTTACAGCCTATACTAACCAGGCAACCTTCTCAGAGCAGCTAACAAAATAACATTCCTGATTTATTTTTGATATACAGATATATTGATATATACCTACATACACACACACTACCTAATTATATTTACATAAAGACCCCATGGGGTAACAGGGGAAAATAGAATACTATCAAGGAAACGTGAAGGTGGACTACATACAACCCAAGCTCACCAAACCTTCAGAGGGACTTAAAGGACAGCTGGGCCACCCTCCCTTTAACACACTTGAACCCTTTATGTCTGAAAGCACATGAAAGGTCCGATCAGAAGAAACATCTTGAGATCATAATGAAAACTTGCATCGTAGGCTCCTTCATCCCATTAGCATGGGCATGCAGAGAGCACCAAAAACTAATCTTGCATCATCAGAAAGTCCTGTGCTCTAACTACTTACACCAGTCCCTAACTGTGGCATGCTTTAAGGTTGTGCTTTCAAATAATAGAAATATATGTGCTCTTATCAAAAAATCTCATTAAATAGTAAGCAATTACTATTGATTCTACTACTACTGTCTGGACCCCAAATAATAGCAGCCACCCTGTTTCTACCTTTCTTTTCGTTATTACATTTTCTAACAATAAAATAGTCACTTTCCAACACTTCAAGACTGCATTTAAATTAAAAAAACACTATAGAAAGCTAGAGAAAGGGGATTATCACAGTAACTTTGATTTTCCTTCTCAGTGCCAGTTAAAATCTACAGATATTTGTATTCTATCTTTGTAACCTGCTTGAACAGCATTGGACATGTCTATAATTCTGCACATGAACAACATGAATAATCATGTGTACCTCTGGTCCCAGGTGTGCAGTAAAATCCAGTGTTACAGAAGTGCATTCAGTTAACCATTGTATTTTTAATTATCTTTAAATCAACAATTATTCCTATAAGGTCCTCCAAACAATTTTTTAATAAAAAACTAATTTACAACTGACAAATTAATTAGTATGAGATAAAATTATTTGCATCTTTTTTAATGAAATTTTGCAACCAAGGTCAAGGGCAGTAAACATCTACTTCAAGTTCTAAAAGCCATTGCTTTTGGATTATGAAGTATTCTCAATTTTTTTTGCCTCAAGGAAATGAAGAATCGCTTCCATTGTGTGATGGAAAGACAGACTTAAGGGAAATATGGCACTTCAGACTGCAGTGGGTAATCAAACGAAAATCACTCTTAGATGATGTTTTTGACAGGAGTTTCTTCAATTAAAGACAGACAAGTTTTTACACAAACCTAATCATGGCAATAAATTTTCAGAACCAATAGTACTGTTAGGAAATATGTGTACCAGTGCTAGGAAATGGCTTGGCTGCTTATATTCCTCAGCAACCTACAAGCCAAATGGGGGCCTCTAACATTTTAGGACTAAGGCAAAGATAGTCATACCACTCCAATAGTGCCACCTGCTGCGTATTTTAAAAGTATACAGTGGTCTGCAGATCCAAGTAACTCAATTTAAAGAAGACTGAACAATTGACTGATTTAAACAGAAGTCATAATTGTGTGTGTATGTATGACAATACGAAAATTTAATTTTTTTTTTTATTAGTAATACATAAACAGGCTAGGGGTACAAAGGAAGTTGTTCCACTACGGTATAAGAACAGAACCCACAGGTAATCCACTTCCAAGTTTATGTCAGTGGCATAATGAGGATTAGTTACATCAGCTCACTACACATCAAAACCACAATTAACCCTATGTACTTTGTGATACCGTGTAGATTAGACCTGCAACTCATTTTATGAATCATATCCTGGTTGCAAATTATTCACAAAACACACACAGGTAAGTGTGTGTGAGTGACTGTGTGTATATATATATATATTACACGCACACGTGCCTTGATAGCAAACGCATACACACATGAACACATGTATACATACGAACACATATATACACACCTCTTGAAACTGAATCAAGATGCCCTGTTCACAAGCTTTCCCTGAAAAGGAAACAAACTGCAATGTGTATGGGATTGGCTCAGCAAAACAAAAGCTAGTCCTGTTCCTGGTTCCAGCGATCTGCTGTACCACTTGGACTCATTCACTTCATTTCACTGGGCATCTGGTTTCTTTTCCCGGTTTCTGGTTTTGCTGCTTATCCATGCAACTGTTTGGGAAGAGACTGCCCTCTATAATCCATTTGCGTAACCAAGTGTGATGGCTTTTCCATGATCCTGAAGGAATGGTATAGTACAAATAATTAATAATAATATTAAATTCTGATCAGATACAAACTCATTATACTTTAAATGCTCTCCTAGTGAGAAGTTAAGTGTACATCTTTTAAGACAGAGCCTACATTTCATGTTCAAGGATGCTATCCTGGTAATTCTTTCTGCAAGACATAGCCACGTTGCACAAGTCACTTTCACAGGAGGTCAATGAGTCAAATAGTGTGACTGGAATTTTAAAACGGTTGGGTAACTTTTATGACCACTAATAATGTTTGTATTGAATGCCAGCTCAAACAGTAATGAGGTTAGTTAAATCTGCTGCCCCAATGTATAAACCAACTGCCTGGAGGTCCAAAGGAGGACTCCATGTGCCAACAACTCAGAATGCTGAACAAACAAGGCAACTGAGGTCCTCCTTTCCACAGAGCACTAGGTGTTTGTCACTACTGAAGGCTGAATATCAAAGTAGATCTACCAGAGCCACGATATATCAGAACAACTCTAACATGACACGTGCTTTTTCCAGGGTCAAGAGAGAAGCTAACTTGAAGAGTCTCTACAGTGTCTGACAAAATATTGTGTTTACTGTTCTTTCCCTGGCTAAGGCGGAAAAAGACCACAGTTGAGGTAGGCAACATGATTTTCAAGACACAAGCATACTGGGAAGGCAAAAGCAATTATTAAGTGAATTACAGCAGACTTATGCATGTGAGCCTGCTGAGCCTTACCAGAACTCTATGCACTGCATAACTAGAGTCTCATCACCTGCGCACGCACAACTTCCAAAGGGATTCCCAAGATCTGCAGGATTTGAGCCTGATTCAGTAAATCATTTATGATGCAAATCATCGCATAATTTCTGCCAGTAACTGGAAAAATACAGCACACTGGCATTCTTTCCACACACTGCCCTTTCACAATGTTTTTTATGCAGTGTTTTTCACTGCAAGGAACCTAGCAGATGCACAATTATATTAAAACTACTGTTTAACTGCATTTTTTTTTTTTTTTACATACTACTCTCTTGGGCCCTTGCAGCAGTATCAGATGGACCTATTTCTGGGAGAGAAACTTGCAGTTCATAGTCCAGACATAGTCTCGTACTTAATTTGATATGATCAAAAGCCATGTATTTTTAAATTTTTTGCCTCGTTATATGTGGCAATACTGTAACATGTATGGTAAGTTTTAAACTGTGGCTTACCATGCATTTGAAGAGCTTGTTCGGCTCTCAGTAAGGAAATGAATACTTCTATAGTTTATTTCATTTTATAGAAAGGCAGAAAAACTGAATGAGTCAGAGTAAGGCATTCCTATCTCCAGCCTCCCGATTTCAAGTGCCATTGGCACATACTGTTTAGACTCTGCACCCAGGCCTGACTACTTTTAACACATTCTTAAAAGGGAGCAATAAGCACAAAATTATTAAGGTATAACAAATCCTCCCTTCCCACCCCACTGCCCCAAGAAGCAGCAGCAAGAATGAAACTGGATGAAAGTTACGGAAGAGGAGTGGAGGGGAAAAGATACAAAATACATGGAAAGAAACCTGAAGAAAGATTTCCCTGGTGGAACTACTGTCTTGGGGAGGTCACCATGACAGCATTCCTTTAAGAATTAACATTACTACATAAACCAGTATTACCCAGCTCTTTATGCACCTGACTGTGTTCAATGAGGTTTTGTATTTCACTGTTTTTTTTGGCAAGGCTTCATATGCTCACAATCTTAAGTCAACATTAAATCCAACTATCCAGTTATAATCACGAACTCTGTATGCAGTAGCTTCAGACCCACTGCATGAAAACAAGCCAACTGAAATCCACAACTTCAGAGTAGACCACACAACTTCTGAAAGAAGTCACCATACTTAGAAGACAGTTACTTCTTCATTTAGGAAGATTTCAGATGCTTCATACTTGATTTGCTTTTTTTGCCAACACAATGAAGGAAATGTTCTGCTTCTGCATGACTTTTTCTTCCTTGTTGGAACAGATGGCGAGGGCTTACAAATACATGACTGGTATTTTTTCAGTGACTCATACCTCAGAGCAACAGGCTTCAGATCATGATAAGCAGCCAACCAAGATGGATGTAAGCTTACTTGAGGAGCAGTATGACCATATAAAACAGAAGCAAAAACTGCAGTCACACATTATTGTATTTAAAACAGGTATGCTTATATTTATAGGAAACAATGCAAATGTAGATGTAAAGACTATTGCTTTAAACCTTGAATAAGTCCTAGCTTTGTTCTTTTTATGCTCAGCTTCAAGAGAGGTACAAAGTGAATTCCTTTTCTGTCATTTTGGTTTTTTACTCATTTCACTGAAAGGTGATCTTATGTTTATATCAATTAGCTTCACAGCAGTGAAACACTAATGTGAATTTGAAACAGATGAATGTATTTGAGATAAGGTTTTACAGGTTTTATGTCAGTAAAGTAAAATTCTAAACATAAATGGCAACTCTTACAGGAGCCATATACTGCATGTCTATCATCAGTGTATTTGTGCAATGTATTTTGTAACATTTCTGCTCTCTTGAATGCTTCCATCAGAACAAGCAATTCTGGGTCTTCTTTCTCTTTTTCCCTTCTTCTTTATCTGTGTAAAGAAATGTGTCCTGCAAGACTACAGGAAGCAATAGCAAATATCAAGTGACTAGCACAAGTTGGGGTTTTGTTAAAAAAATAACTTATACTAAAAGTCATAGTGGGTAACTAAGATACAAGCTTTGTACAAGAGGTCCCATTTTGAAAGCGTTTTCACTGCATATTGCTTGGAAAGTACATAAATAGAAAAACAAGTAACAATATGTATCACTCATCTACCTGCTACGTTAGACAGATTTTATATAAGAAACTTCCAAATGTTTTAAACTTTTTAGTTAGACTGCTTACAATACTACACTGATATACTTTCATTTACTTTCTAAGTTAAAGTGATATTGAGAATACTAAGTCAATTAATGAAGTTGTCTTCTGAATTTAATTGCAATATGAAAAACATGCTTCATTCACCTCTCATATTAGTATTTAGCTCAACAAATGCAGAACTTAGGTTATTTCATTCCTTACATTTTCCTCTACATTTTTCAGCAGTTCTAGATTTTGGCTGTGTCAGACTGTATCACCAAAACAACTGAAAAAACACATAACTATGAACCATACAATAGATTCACTTCTTCAATATTCTTTCATCCAAATGTCTAGAAATTCTTATAAGAATTTAAATCTCTGTGAGGAAGATATATACAGAGAGAGAGAGAGAGATACATGCAAGCTTATTTTATCAGGTATGAAAAGGCAACTAACTTGAAGACAAAACAGCCCATCAGCTATAGCAAAAATGTAAGTCAGTTAAAGAAAGGAAACAGAAGTCTGTATTCAGATTAAATTCAAACGAAGCTTCAGATATAATGAATATAATCAGGGCAGATTTTTTGCAAGGACACCATCTGAAGATTAAAGAAAAGGCATAAGAAAGTAGGACTGCACAGTTTCTGGGAAGTTTAAAATTTAGTAGGGCTGGAAGTTCACATACAAATATTTTCATATACATACACATAACCCAAAACATTCACAAAACCACATAACCTACTGCACTGAATTTTTATCTTTAAACAACCTGTGTGGAAAGGATTAATGTTACTGTTAGAAGCAGTTGAAGTTTTGGGGTTTTTTGTTATGCTGAGTTCTCAATGTCCTGAAAGTTGATCTTATACATTCCTATGGTTTGGAAGCTGGGAAAACTTATTACATAGCTCAGCACTTTGAACCTGTTATATGCATCAGTTTCCAAGAGCATGTCAAGCAGAAATGAACACTGCCGTATCGGGATAGCCTACTGCCCTACACTCCTTAAATTACGAGCTTAAACTATCCAGAAATTCCAGCTAGTACCAAAAGGCAGTCCATGTATACATCAGTATTTTGTACTGGCAGCAAACTGTTTCCCTACCTAGAGGGCAAGATTACAGCTGGGCTGGGAAGGGGACGATGATGACAGCGCTACCACAACCCCACCCCTACACACAAACCTCAGAGGCCAGACACAAAAACCTCATGAGATTCAAACATCATGGAAGGAGGGCACCTTCAGTCCCTCATGGTCTAAAAAATCCCTGCCAAAGGTCTTTATTCTAACTAGTAAAACCCTAAATTGTTTCTGCTGGACAGACCAGCTGTCCTTCCATGATACCACAGGGATTTTGAGCATTTCAGATTTATTGCACCACAACTGGAATGGTAACGCCAAGTTTTCTTGAGGACTTTTAGCTTTGTATGTCACTGCCTGTTTGCCAGAGTCATGAAATTGTGGACCCTTAAACAGAAATTAAGATTCTCTAACTTCTCTAGGTTTTTGACTGGTGGGTTAGTAACCGAGAAGTCACCTGAAAAGAACTTTCTTCTGTTCCTTCCCCAATACACGCAGCCACATTCATGCTTCTGCCTGTTCCTGATTATTTGAGAACAAAGAGCATGACAAGACTTGAAAGCCACCAGCTAGGGGATAATACAGTAGTGTATTCATTATTTATTGGCTAAGAAGCTGAAAAACAGTATTTACTTTAGGAATTAAATGGGAGCATTCAGCGCACGCAGTCACAACAGAATAAACACTGGGGCTCTGACTGCAGAAATCTCTTCCAAAATTTCCCAAGCTAACTTGAAGAAAGATTAACTTTTGTCACTCCAGAACCTTAAAAATATCTGTGATGACAGCACATGAAAAAGGCCAAATGGTAAACAACCCTGCAACAAGGCTATTATGCACAACTCTTAAAAAAAAAAAAAAAAAAAAAAAAAAAAAAAAGGAACAGACCAAAGATCTAATTAAAGCTTTGTTTAGAAGTGTAGAGAGTGCTGAATGTGTGTTACATCAACACACAGTAGTTCAGGACTCTCACATTTCTATCAGAGGTCATTGCTCAATTTTGTGTGCCGCACCTGTAGCCAAGGAATCAAATCAAACCTGAACTCAAAACCAGTCCAGACTATTAAAATTGGACTAGATGCATTACTTTGAACTCTCTGATCAACTCAAGCCAGATCATAATTCTTCCGATGACCAGTTCACAAGGTTCAAAATAAAACCTGATGTTGCCTATGAATGCCAGTTCAGCCAAGAGTGCAATTACATCCACAAGAACGTGCAAAGCTGCATCACCTCAGTCTCTCAGTTCCTTCTCTCTTGCTTTTTCTCTCACATATACAGAACAAGCCCTAAGTTTTGTAGCTTGGTGCTATACTGTGCTGATCTGCAGAACACAGTGGGATCTATTTTGCAAGTGGACTTTTTGCAGCCGCCCAAGCTTTCCATGATAGAGAACTGTGTGTTCTTATCTCTATGAATGGTTTCACCCTAGGAAATTCTGTTAGCGTACTTCACTGTATAGACATATGCACAAACACATCTATATCTCTAAGCTCTGCATGTGCTTTAGTCTCCTTTCTCCTGGCAACACTGCAGGAGAGCGGAAGATGTGAGCTAACACAGTTCTCACTCCCAGAGCCATGCTGCAAAGCGGCTCTTAACAGATCATCCATATGAGGCCAACCCAGGGAGCAGAAAAAAAATCTGTGCTGGTGTCATTGCTTCAGCAGTGGGAGCCAAAGGCAGTCATGAAAGCCCCTCCTTAGCCAAAGCCATGTTGTACAAGTTCATTTACTGACAGTAAATCAGCTGGGTCTGACATCTTCAAATATTTCCTTGTAAAGATGGTACGAAAGGCAGTTATAAGGGTGGGGGGTGGGGGGGTAGGGGGTGTATGCTGTTGGGTTTTTTTTTTTTAAGGCAGCATCCTATTCGAACTAGCTTCATTTCAAATTCAGGGTTCCTGAATTTTGTTCCTATAACTCAACCCTGTAAATAAGGCCAGCATTCTGCACAACTCCTGCTTTAAACTACATTTATACTAACTGAAGTATATTTCATTAATACTTGCAATGTCAACAGCACTGTATCTTTAGCGTAACGGTTCAGTTTCTATTCTTTTTCAAGGCACAGAAAGCCAGTCATGTGAGTAATTTGATGGCTGCTACATGTAATTAAAGTAGCATTAGCATTTCTATCCCTAATATCTTATACATTTCTAACAGTAACTTTCATATTGACCAGATTCTCTCCCACTGTTACAGCTACTCTATACCATTCAGGGAGCAAGCAGTTTTTTCCTCTAAGCGATCATTCAGGCAATACTAGTGTGATAAGCTATTTACTTTACACCATTTATACTGACTACAATAATAAAATTGCAGTAAAATATTAAAATACAAGCCTATATGTTAATGATCCATCATTATAAAAAGGAAATTCACAACTTTTTTCATCTAGAAGCAGTCACAGTATTTTTAAGTTGTGAATACAAACTTGAAACAGTATCAAACAGAACATTGTCTTCCACATCACAGCACCTACGAACACACAGAGCAAGTCCCTGCTCACCTTAAGAATTTTTGCTTACAAGCAAATAATTACGTAAAGTCAATTCTCAATCTGTGTTGTTAATGAGTCTTAGAGTACCAGTTAGATCAATATTGACTTGATAAATCTCCATTTTCATTTGACTAACCCTAGGGTACCATTTATGTCCTCAGAACTGCAAAACCAAGCATGAAGTATTTCTACTCCATAACCTGGCACCAAAAGAACTTGCACTACTCTCAGCCACAGATGGAAAGAATACAGATAAACTCATCTGTTAAAGCTCTTCAGTTGAGTTTATGCCACAGAAATTACACCCTTAATTTATGCCACCATAGTAATGTGCCTATATATGTTTCTCTTCTAGGTGAGCATGAATCTGTTCTCCCAGAATCAATGGTCAATGCTGTTTTAATTAATAAAAAAGTTAGAAGATCAAAGTCATTTACAGAATGTGTTCCTGTCAGAAAGGTCAGACTGGAGATGACCAGCAGTGGCAACATACAAGACAACTCACCATGGCGTACCCACCTGGGAATTCACCGCCTGGTGCAAGCCCCTCAGCAAGGAGTTACCTGGGATCTTTCCCACTGCAAGAACGGACCATGCAGTTTTGACAATCAGAGACTGATTTCAAAGGGAAACGGCACACCGCAACCCAAAGAATTAGAAGGAGCAAGTGAACTATCCGCGCTCAGTCAGCTGGGAAGTTCAAGTGTCTTGAACAGTTTCAGCAAAGAGAATGGCAGCAACATTTCAAGCACCTGCCAAAAGCCTCCTCTGAAATCAGCCACTTCAGCAGTTTGGACACATCAACATATTTCTTCTACAAAATGCATGCCAGCCTGCAATAAACTGAACTTTTACCCTTTCCCTAATAAAAAAGGGCCCAGAATTTCTGAAGCAGCAAGGAGGCTTGGATTATATGTCTCACAATGAAGACATTCAGTAATACATAAAACTTAGTCAAAAACTCGACTAAAACTTAAAATAGCAAAAGTCTTCCTAGTTACTCTGATCCACCTGCTGAGAATCTACTACTTTTATTAGCCAAGGAAGATCCTTACTATATAATCTGTTGTTTTACAGTACAGTGTAAAATGAGATGTTCTTATGAAGATGCTAGCCTGCAATGACAGATACTCACTTCTGTTATTTGAGCTATAAGAGCAATTTTCTCTTTTTTTTTTTCCCTCCTATTTTCAGGTTACTGATTTTAGAAACTAAGATTTTATCACAGCAATATTTGAAATACCTGAAAGAGCTATAGCAAAGACTAGTAGAACTACTGATGAAGCAACTAGGCTAAATTTCAGTGTGGTACTATTTAATTAGACAATAAACAAGTAACAAACGAAACAGTACTGAAGGTGATTGGTACACTTAACGTACGATTTCATCATTCGCTTTCTTCGAAAAAAGATATTCAAGATACTTTCTGATGTGTGTATTTTTAAAATCAATGAATAAAACCTCTGCTCATTTCTATTGTTGTTTTAATGGGACTCAGTAAATGTCACCTTTTTCTTACATATAAATTCTGTAACAACATATTGTTGGTTCCCATCTATCCCCAGTATTTCATTAGAAAACAAAAGTCTGAAATAATTACTTAACTCACCGATACTCTATATCAATGTACCTTCCTTACCAGAAGTATAATGCATCTTTCTGCTGTTACAACTATATGCGCACACAGGGGATATAACCATTTCAACTACACAAATATAACTGTAGCAGTACAACTATTTTTTGTAGATAGGGTTTAACATTTTCTCTTGTGGCACAACTGCACCACAAGCCTGTGCAAGTTTTTAAAAGTGAGTAGTAATTGCTGGTCTCCCCTCCTGCCCAACCTTTGGAGGAAGGAGACCCTCTTTTGCAGGTGCTTTTCAATGACAAAAACATGAGCTACGTATCACCCACTTCTGGCTGCAAGTATTCAGACAGGTCTCTTTCTCAAGTGTAGGCTTCAGAAAAATTGAAGACTTGAAATGTCTCCCCATTTCACAACGATGTTAATTTTGAGCTATACACCTGGCAGCCACTGGCTCTTCTGAACCATTCCATACCTACCTGAGCCCTGAAAGGACAGCAAAATGAGGATCAGGTGGACGGCCCACAAAGCTCTTCATGATCCCTGCAAACAGTCTGCAAGTACACATGCCCAGTTACCACCACTGTCTCAAAATCACACCATCCATACACAAAAAAAAGTGAGCAAAACCAAAGATGCTCAGCTGTGATTTATGTCTTTCTACGCACAAACTCTTCTAAGCAAGAAAGATAAACCATCCCCTCATAAGATATCTTGAAAACAGAGTTAATACCAATGTGCAAATAAAATTCTATTGTCAAAGAGATAGCAGTGTTATCCATTTCTAAGAGAAACTACCATTTTCTTTGCATCCAACACAACTTCAACCCATTAATCCTTCATACAATTCCACTGACTTTTGTTGTGCTTGATGGAGGATACTACATCTGGAGATGTTTGCACAGATCTGTCAGAGCCTACGCTTCCATTGCAGAAGCTTCACAGCTGTAAGTGTATCACAGTACTTTGTTAGGTCCACAAAAAAAAAGAAAAAATATCATGGAATATAATGCTATTTCACTCCCTCTGGCCAAACGTCATTTCCTCTATGCCACTCAACAGTTTCAGACCCAAACTCTGTAGTGTCCCACACCAACCCAGCCATCACCAGCAGGTAGGCAGGCGCCTTGTCTCCTGGAAGTGACAGTCCTTGAGATAGTGCTGAAAAGCACTAGCTATTACCGATAGCGATGAGTACACCACAGTAACTCCTGAAGAATTTTCCACTCATCCTCAGTAAAAGCAGCAGAATCATAGAATCATTTAGGTTGGACCTTTAAGATCATCAAGTTCAACCATTAACCTAACCCTGCCAAGTCCACCGCTAAACCATGTCCCTAAGCACCACATCTACACGTCTTTTAAATACCTCCAGGGATGGCAACTCAACCACTTCCCTGGGCAGCTTCTTCCAATGCCTGACAACCCTTTCGGTGAAGAAATTTTTCCTAATAGCCAACCTAAACCTCCCTTGGCGCAACTTGAGGCCATTTCCTCTCATCCTATCGCTTGTTACTTGGGAGAAGAAACCAACACCCACCTCGCTACAACCTCCTTTCAGGGAGTTGTAGAGAGCGATGAGGTCTCCCTTGAGCCTCCTTTTCTCCAGGCTAAACAG